AATTTTTTTGACCAGTGTATAAGATTTAGAGTCCATCATTTTTTTCGAAAACTATTACTCGCACAGTAAAAATGAATAGAACATAAAATGTATATTTCAAAGAGATCTACAACTTTTGTTTAAAACATTTTTCAAAATTTTTAATATTTGTGTCTGAAAATTACATATAATTGATCGACATTGTTTCTTTAATAACGTTTTTACGAACAGCGAGCGACGGCTAAAAACTTTTTTACGTTACTCAGTAAGGTGTCCTTGACAACATATGTCAAGGTCAAGTTCGTAGGAGCCGGGTCCCCTATTCGGCAGTTTTACCCATTACTTTCCTATCATCGCTTGAGTACTCTCCGCGAGTACGCTTTTCGCATCAGCGATCGAGTTCAGATCTACCTCAGTCAGTTTACTTTTTTGTTGCTAAAGTTCTAAACAGTAAGTAATATACATGTTATTGCGAATAATATTATCACAGCCCCAGTGGTCGAGCTGGCTAAGACGCCCGTCACGGATTGAGAGGTCCCAGGTTCGAATCCTGGCTGGGGTAATAGTTTTCGCAATAAGAATTTTAATTCAATAGGGGAAAGGGTAAATTTATAATGCTAAATATAGCATTAAAATTAAATTAACATAATTTGAAAAAATCACTCTGCGATTTTTAGAACACGTGAATTCACTGACGATAATGATCCCACCTAGGCAAAATCTGTGTTATATGTCCGATAGTAACAGCACGCAGTACAGGGTGGGATAATACGGTATATGATTCACATAGCAATATAAAGGCCACCACCTTGCCAGGTCCTACAAATATGGCGTTTAAGTTTCAATTTGATTTACGAGTATATCAGAAAAGGACCGAGAAAATATTACTTGTAACTTATTCAAGGTCCTAATACATGTGCACATAGTCCTGGAAATACAAGGTGGGCCAAAAGTAATCACCCTATCGGAAGATGCTATAATTTTTGCAAATGGCGGCAAATGTCAAAGTTGTTTTGACATTTGTGAAGTATAATGGTGTAGAATATTAGTGCATCAACAATGGAACGCTACACTCCACACGAACGCGGAATAATCGTGACTATTTTTTTGAAGAATAATTCTTCAGTGGTTTTGGCGCAGCGTGAATTTCGGCGCAGATTTCCTGGCCGTCCGACACCAACTGGGCAAACATTGCGGCGTTTAGCCGCTAACCTCGAAGAGACTGGCACCATACGCGACCAAAGACGAGCCGGCAGACCTCGTAGTGCCCGTTCGGAGGAGAACATCGCGGCTGTGGCTGATGATGTCGCGGAGGAGCCGTCTACGTCGACCAGGCGGCCTGCCCAGTAATTGGGCGTTTCACGGATGTCTCTGCGGCGCATATTGGCGATAGACTTGCAGATGTTCTCGTACAAAGTGCAGACAGTCCATCAGTTATTGTCTGCTGACCGCCAATCGCGCATAACGCTCTGTTGAACCTCAACGAAGAAATGGACGATTTTCAGTCCAAAATCATCATGAGCGATGAGGCCCATTTTCAGCGGTTATGTCATCAAACAAAATCTTCGCTTCTGGGGAACTGAAAATCCACAAGTGACCCACGAAGAGCCATTACATCCACTCAGTCACTGTGTGGTGCGCTGTTCATGCCGGCGGCGTCATCGGGCCGTATTTTTTCGAGGACATTTTGGGCAACACGGTGACTGTGACTGGTGAGCGCTACCGAGAGATGTTGAATGAGTTTTTATTGCCGGAATTGGACGAGCAGGATCTGGAAGACATGTGGTTTCAACAAGACGGTGCCACCACACACACAGCCCGAGCGACGATGGACATTCTGAAGGAGACATTTCCGGGCTGCCTCATATCGCGTTTCGGCGATATGCACTGGCCTGCAAGATCGCCCGATTTGACTGTTCCTGACTTTTTTGTTTGGGGTTTTTTGAAGTCGCGGGTCTATGCGAGCAAGCCACAGACTCTGGCAGCCCTTAAAGAGAACATCCGACATGAGCGGCCAACATATCGCCTGACGTTCTCAAAAAAGCCATGGAAAATGCTATAAAAAGGGCCCAAATGGTAATCAACAATGGCGGCGGTCACTTGACCGATATCATTTTCAAATCTTGATGTAATAAAACTCAAAAGACCAAATAATGTTTTAAAGAATATCGCATCGAAATATTTCGTTTCATTTACAAATTATAGCCAAACAACATCGGATGATTACTTTTGGCCCACCTTGTACCATCAGTTAGGAAACAGCGTGAACTTATTTAAGGTCCTAATACTTTGCGTGAGACGCAACGCGAGATACGCGACAGCAGCGCCAATGCCACGTTGCGGCAGAAAAGTGAAAAGGACGCTGGTCTGGTCGACGACGACGACGACGATGATGATTATGATGACAAAGATGTTTCTTAATCCAAAATTTCACAAAACTGACTTTGCATTGCAATTGCATTGCAATACCTCCACTCATGGGGCACGTAGGAGAAAAGTAAAAACACTTTTATTATGCAAATCGTACCCAAGCTATCGATTAAGCGCAGTCTCAAGTTCGTCGGATCAGCCGTTGTTGAGATCCGAAAATCTGAGGGCCCGTCAACTCGTGTACTCGCGTAAACTTACACGGTCGGTCTCGCGCGCGTGTACTAGCTACGCTTACACTTGGCGCGAGACACTACCGTGTCTCGTGATAAGTCATGAGAAGCAAGATGTAAAGAACGCTGCAACATAAAACATAAAAAATTATTTAGATAACGGCGGAGGGCTGATACTTGGAGACAATAGTAATTGGTAATTTTGTATGTATAATGGCCGATCTATAATGAACCGTTTCTTGCAAATATAAAGTGTTGACTCTTGTAAATATAATAATTTATTGCTCGCAATCCGTGTAACAAGTAATATAATGCTTCGGAGGACTTCAAACCCTTTTTATCATTCAATATGATGCAGTATATACAGGGTGTGTCCTAATACCCGTATGTCCCGTAGATGGCAGATAGACCGGGGTAAACTGAATAGAAAAGTCCTATACCATTTTGCAAAATTCGCAATAGTTATCGAGAAATTAATTTTAATGTCTGAGCGAATAAGAGCGTAGAAGGCGGCAGGCCGGACTCGGCAGGCAACGGTGGGGCATCATCTAATAGCGTGAGGTCGAGCGGCGCGCCGAAAAAAGTTGTCAAGCAGCGAGCGGCAAGCTTTTTTGACATTTTTTTTCGGCGCGCCGCTCCACCACTCGCTATTAGATGATGCCCCACCGTTGCCTGCCGAGTCCGGCCT